TGAACCTGCTGGCACTGAAATCTGGAAGTAAAAGCCACAGGGAGTGTCATGAACATGTGGTATGAAGGGCTATTTCTTGCTCCCCCACCCCCACCCAGGGCTGTGTGATCATGTTGCAATGTCAAATCCTTACGTTGTACAGCTGAAACTACTGTAAAGTTATATATCAAGTATACCTCAATTAAAAAAACAAACAAAAAAAAAAAGAATGAAGCGCAGCATGAGGCCATGCACTAGTGGGCCCATAGGTGGGTGGTCAGCTCAGAGTCTTTATTTCAATATCTTATCTGAGTTGGCTCCATCTCCTAGGCCATTCCCATGGCCAAGTACCCTGACTCCTGAGGCTAAGGTGTGGAAAAGTACCTGAGATCCCACCCATGCCAGTGAGTGAGGCCCTCCTCCAGGTTAGGCCTCCCGCCCTCTACTCCTTGTTTCTCTTCTATAGCCACAATGCTAGCCCTGCTTAGCCCCTTGGAGTTGGCATCCTAAAGCATCTGTTCAATCTTCAGCTTTGGCTGTATCCCTAAATGCTGCTTCTCCTTGTCTCTCTTGGCTCCACACTTAACAAGATCCCATGTTAGGCTCCCACTTGTTTAAGGAAAGGGATGTTTGGACAGAGCTGATGGACCAAAAAGCACCTAAGAGCCCTGCTGAGGATTCATTTGTCCCCGTTTCCTGTTTAGGTAGAGGTCCGTGACCCTAAAATGAGTCCCTAAGGGCAACTTCACCTCATTACATAAACTTTCAGTAATCTAAAATAATGGGTTTTGTTCCCAATAAGTATGTGTATGTGCATGCGTATGTGTCTTTCTATTCATTTGGGTAAAAATAGGAATATTATACTTAGATGGTAATGAATGTGAAATGAGCACTTAACTCACATGGCACAAATGGCTAAATGGAAGCCCTGAGCCTCTCTTTATGGAACACAGATTCAGTGAGAGCTACGGTAATAGTGTTTGGTTAATGTCAGCTCAGCATTAAATTTACATTATACTCTTGTGAAGAAGCTCCAACATTACCTGTTAATAACCAAGGTGGTACTTGGGCTTATATAGACTTTTTGATTTTGCACATGAACTAACACTGAAGCTTGCTGACGAAGGATTATATGAGCTTGGAGATTTGGTGTGCCAAAAGATTCTTTGTATGAATAAAAATTCTGGTCAGTGAAGGTCAGTTTCTCTACTCAAGCAAGAACAATGCTATTTCCCTTCTAATCAGACACACACAGTGTTCGAAGAATCCAAGAGCCCCACATAAATGATTTGCACCCATAGTCTGGGCAGCACCTCATACAAGAAAGGAATAATCCTTAATATAGGCTCAAATGACCCTGGCTTTTTTCTGTACTATAATCAGTTGCTTTAATGGTATGCCTTCAGCGCTTCCCAGAGAAAATGCTATAAAGTTACGCTATCTTCATCTTACTTCAAGGAGGGCTCAACTGGTCCAATCAGTCCTCCCCCCATGTTGCACTTGATTCTGCTATAAAGACCACTGAAGTCAGCCTCAGTTTTGTTGAAAAGCCAGCATTCCCTTTCTTTGTCAGGGGGATGTGCCTCTGAGGGGCAGTGGACGTGAAACAGCAGGAGTCCCCATCTTTATTGTTCAGCTGTGCAATTTGTTTTAGGCACATTCTAAATCCAGTCATAAGCCTTTCGCTTTTTTTTTTGGTCCGTGACAAAGGTGACCCAATTGTACTTCTTTGATATTATGAACACAGCTCTTTTTGCTCATATCACAGAGGCATATAACAAAATACAAAGGATAAAATTGTGTCTCTGTGTAGTAAGGACACAGATTTCATGACTAAATTCAATGACATAATCAAAAGGTGGTGTCCTCTCACAGTCATGAGCTAACAGGCAGACACCACCTTTCAGAATATTTTTTGTAGTGCTGAGATACTGTTCAAAAACAATAGAACTAATGAAAACGTCACATCGATAGAGGAGCCCACATCACGATTTTACTTGAAGAAGGCATGATTAGGGGAATGCGACATTGACAGCAATGGTGTTAGGATTTACCGAGTTAAGAAAATATTCCAAAAAGAATACTCTGCAGTTCCATCTGGAGTGTATTGTTTTTTCATTTTACTTTTTATTTCTAGAACTAGGTGGACTCCAGTGTTCAGAATTTTAGCCTTAATGTCTTATTTCTGTCTAGCTGAGGTATACGGAGCTTTTTCTCTCTATCAGACTCTAATATAATTTTATCATATAAAGAAATACGTTAACTGAATAATGTGGTAAAATGCATGTGTCTTAGGGCATTTGGGAAATATGCAGATAGTAAAATTACATAATGCAAGTGCATTTCTCTACAAACAAATATGCAATATTGAAGTGATTAAATACATGTAAAAAAGAAGAGGAGACACACAGTGGAAAAAAAGAACTAGTTTTAAATAGAATAGCTGTAACATCACTGAAGACTTTACTTAGCACTCTCGGTTGGTTGAACAAATATTCTAGCAAATCTGGAATGAATAGCAACTCTGTTTACTATGACAAGCTTTATTTGTCTTGGGCACAACCAAGACCACATGCTGTGTTTTGTCATGTTGGAAATACTGAAGCAGATTTCCATTGTGAATGTGAAATTTTTTTTAAAGCCTTAACACCTCAGTCTCAACTCAGCTAGGTAACAGTAATACATTTTCCTTTCCTTACCAGCCAGGCATCAATAAATCTTAAATCCCTCCACCAAAAACATAGCCGAAGTTCATTGTCCTGGGTATAGTCTCACATCCCTGTCATAGATGGCCTGATCCTTCTCATTTCCAAGGGCTGTCTTTTTGCCTTTACTGTAACAAAATTAATTTTTAATTTCCTTTCTTCTCCATATAGTAAAGCTTCCTTAAGTTTATACCCTACTCTTTATATGCTACTCTTGGCATAGGGCCTTCCCAAAACCAATGATGCAGAAATCTCTACCTAGTATAAACATGGCTAACATTCTACTTCTCCCCCTCATTTATACCCTGTGTAAAAGCCAAGTTTAGCACCTGTTGTCTCGAACCACGGTCACTTTTTGGAGTTGTTGATTCTGCTGAATTTATGGAAAATGTGTATATTGGGGCTTAACACTTAGATGAGAGTGGCACAGCATACCGTGAAATTATTTAGATCTACTTTCCACCTTGAAATAATGCTGGGTGGCCGATCCTTGCAAAATTCTCATCACATTCCTTTTTTTATATGTTATCATGATCATTTAGTTAGCAGGAAGATTTAATGAGAAGTAGAAGACTAAGGATTTAAGAGTAAAGAAAAAACTACTGTTTTCATGGATTAGAATCCCATCTTTTTGTCCTGTGGTCTTTATTCTAGTTTTGATACGGATTGATGTTTTCCTCTAAAGTCATATAATTCTGAATGAAATGAGTTTAAGACTGACCTTATAGTGAGAAGCCAGGTCACCAGTAGGGATTAGCATGTAATGAATACAGTCATGCTGTGGAGCAGAGCAGCAGCAGATTCTAGGTGGTGGTGAAGGGGTTGGAATCAGTGGCAGCACCGTTACCCACAATTTCGTGGACCCCTGAGGAGCATTAACCTTTAGTTAGAGTATGAGGTGTGCCCAAATTGTGTACACTGAATATCTGATCAGGGTTAGAGGAGAGTCTAAAGAGGGAGAGAAAGGCTCTCTTCAATACTTTTAGGATTCAAATAATCTGAACACCTACTATGTGCCAGGCTAATTGTAGATGCTTAGGGATACTAGGTGAACAAGTACCTGTCCTTATGGAATTCACACTATAGTAGAAGGGACATATCGGTAAAGAAATAATTTTAGATAATGAAGGATAAAAGAAAACCAGCAAGGTATGAAGGAGAGTGATGGGCTGACCAGTAATAATTGTAAGATAGGTAGTCACTAAGCCGTCTCTAAGGAGGTGACATGAGCCCAGGCCAAATGAGGAGAAGCTACTTCAGGGCTTACCATACAGAGGGACAGCAAGTGCAGAGAGCCTGGTGAAAAAGTAATCTAAGGCCATTCAAGGAACAGAAGGAGAATCTCTGTGGCTGCAACTTGCCAAGAAGTGGGAGGGGAAGGTGATAGATGAAGTTGGAGAGATAAAGTGAAGTTATGAAAATTCCAGGACCGAATTCATCTTGGGAATATTGGTAAATGGTAAAGTCAACAGTGTGTATGTGTTTTAAAAGTGAAATTATATTTGTAATTTTAAGGGGAAAGCTGGAGGCTTAGTAGAATAACTAGGAATAAGTAGGGTATCTTATGTCAAACAAAGTAGCAGGATGAGGGAGCTTCAAATCCTAGTGTTTGACATGCTGCTATTATCAAACTACTCTTATTGGAATATCTCCAGTAAGAAACTCTAGCACATTTGTGTATGTTTCAAAAAAATTAGGGCAATCTCCTTTTAAAATGCTTCTTAAGGAGTTGAGTAATTTTTGTTTCTGAGTCTCCCCTATCGTCTATCGTTCCTCTAAGAACAATTGTGTGTTTCCCCATCTCCTGCAGCAGAGAGGCACGGATCGCCTAAGTGATAGCCTTAACCTTCAGCTGGGGACTTGTGCAAATGACTTATCATTTCCTTTACCATGATAGTGGATGGGTATTGGTGAATGCTTAGTAATAAGATCTTGGAGAATAAAAACTGTCTCGGGAAATGTCCACATTTTAGGGGATCATCAGGATGCTGGCAAAATCTGCAGGTGAAACTTAATTTTGTATTCAAATGAACAAACCCACACAGTTTGCTTATGGAAACCAAATGATTAGGTGCACAGCTAATCTATAAACATGGATTTTTTTTTCCCCATTCTAAATTTGGTTTTGTTTGGAATACAGTTAATGTGGAGGCATGGTGGAGACTTGCCAAACATCTGGACCTCTGTGATACTCCTGGACTTCAAGAAGCAATTCTGAAGTCTTCAAATTCCATCACAGGCTGTGGCTTATTGTTCATATTATAAAGAGCAAAGTCTAGGGCACATAAGTTTACTGGTCTGTTTTTCTTTTGGCAGGGGCAAGATGCTCTGGTTTCAAGGAAATAGTATGCAACTTCCCAAGTACTGCTTTCGACTCTTCCTGAGAAATCTCTCAGCCTCTAAAACTGTACTGCCTGTGCTGACCTTATTCACAAAGGTACAGAGTGAAAAAGTAAAATTACTACTTTAAAAACATAAAGTATTAAAATTGTTGGGTAAAGAAAATAAAGAAGAAAAATGTTGAAAGAAAAGGAATAAACATTATTCAACCTGCTCCTCAGTTTTTCAGTTTCAGTAACAACTGTACTAACTCTATTTCCAACCCAGGTACCTTATTTTCTTGCAATTAGAGGGTATATTAATATATTTAATAGTCATCTGAGATCCCTACATTGAAAGAACCATCAGATTATAATATGATGTTTACAAATATATCACTTAGAAACTTAGTCAATTCTTGTTATTTGTGATAATTATGTTAAGTAAAGTCACCATGACTCTGGCTGGTGTGGCTCAGTTTGTTGGAGCATCATCCGTAAGCCAAATGGGGGTGCGTTTGATTCCCAGTCAGGGCATACACCCAGGTTGTGGGTTCAGTCCTGGTCAGGGCATGTACCAGAAGGGAACCAATCAATGTTTCTCTCTCACACTGATGTTTCTCTCTGTCTCTCTCTCTCCCTCCCTCTCTCCTTTCTTTCCTCTCTCTAAGGGCAGTAAAAGAAAATGTACTTGGGGAGGAAAAAATAAAAATTAAAATTAAAATAAATGAGATGAAATATAATAAAATAGAATAAAATAAAATAAAAATAAAATGTCATGACAAACACTAAATTAGCAAATACTGAACCATTGCTCCTAGGGACAGTATAGGGTTATGTTCCTTTGAGCTACTCTTAACAGCACTTTTGTTAATCGATCAGCACATAACCTTGTTTTACACGTGTTTCTATTTAAAGATACCTTATTTAATATATATTTTTGATTCATTAATATTTAATTTACAGCCAAGAGCACTATAACTCATGCCTGAACAAAGCTTATCTAACACTATATTTTCTCCAGAAGGTGCATCACAGCCCTCTTGTGCTTAGAAACATTAGACAACACTTCAGCATTATCGACAACAAAAGCACAAAAATACAAAAACAGCATTAAATAGGTATTAGAAGGACACTTGTTTACAAGTATGAGCTGAAACAGGAAGCATCATTTTGTTCAGCTTCAGCTAGGAATGTGCACTTCGGGTGACTCAAAATTTTCTCTGCTCTGTGCACATCCATGTTTGTGAATGACTGCAAAAAGCCCACGAGTATATCTTGGGGTAACAAATAAGTTTCAGTAAATAGGTGAACTCGCAAATACGGAATCCACAAATAATAAGTATTGACTGTACTTGTTTTCTTATTCCTAACACTAGTTTTGAGGTATAGAGGTAGTTTAAAATTTTTAAGAGCTTCCCCCCTGAAATTTATAATACAAGCATTACTGATATTCTTTTGCTAGTTAACATTTCTCTGTGTGATTTACAATCAAAAAAGAAACAAAATGCAAGGTAGTAGAATTAACTTTAGTGAATAGCACTGCAATTCAAACAAAAAAAAAGTCTTGTGTTTAACAAAGTTTTCAGATTTCAGGCATTTTAACAATTTGGAAATATTTGATAGTTACCTAATAATGAAACTTAGGAAGCTTTTAAAAATTAATTTCTCATTGAGAAGAGTTATTCCAAACTACTTTTCATATCCATAAGTATATATTGCTCTGTTAGAAATTATAGGACAAAACTATTTCATCATCTGTGTAATGAAAATTGCACATGAGAATTAACCACAAAAATAATCCCTTTAGCTGCACTATATTTCACTTTGAGCAGCACCAACTTAGCTAAAAACATTTGTAGAGACACACACACACACACACACACACACACACACACACACACTCATCTTCCATTTAGCTTAAATTTTGTACTGAACCCTTGAGCTGTGTCATTAGGCATATAATATCACTCTCACCTTCAAGAGTTCACAATCCAGAGAGAGAAAAAGCATAGTATTTGGCCTCTTTCAGTTACAAATAATAGAAAGTACTTCCCAGAGGGGCTTAAACAAAAAAGGGATTTTATGGGTTGGTCTGGTTTAAGGAGTAGCTTCATTGTGAAACTAATCAAGTTGCCAATCTCTTCAGCTCCACATCCTCTGTGTTAAATTTGTCCTGACTTTATTTCTTCTCGAGTGACTGTAGTGACCCCAAGCTCCAGATCTCACATCTTGTATCTACAGAAACTCCAGCAAAAGCCTTATAACTAGCTATTGTCTCTGATCAGGTGATCCCTGAGCCATTCCAATTTAGCTAAAGGGATAGGATGTGCTGTTTGCTTCAGGCTAAGTCAGGTGTTTCACCCTTGATGTTCAGGGATGGCGTGAACCACGGGCTGAGAGCAGCTCCTGTGAGGGAAAATCACAGCATTCTTGCTACAAAAAAGGAGAGTGTGTGGTGGACAACCAATCCAGCAAATGTTCACTACAATTCCGGGCTAGAGTAAATGAGTGCTTTATTGGTGCCAAGGAAAATCCTAGACAATGATGTTTCAATGGTCCAGACCGCTGGGTCTCACCCTTTTTCAGTTCATAGACCTTTTTAAAATTTAACGAACCATTCCTCATCATCATACACACACACAATAATTTGCACAGACCTCCATGGACACCAGCTGTTAAAAACAAAACAAATTCAAAGAAATCTGATCAAGCCTCTACCGAAGTTTTTTATTACAAAAGCAAAATGTTGGTAATTTGGTATTTCCACAATTTAGCTTGTTCTTGTTTTAAGAACCTCTGTTGACTTTTTGAAACTTTCTCAGAAAATGTCAACATGATTCTCTCAACACATCACAAACTGTCCATAATCTTTTTATTGGTAATGCTAATAACACCATGAGCCTAATTCTCTGAACCAGGAAATTAGGGCCAGAAAGGGCCTTCTGAAGGAAAACTGACTTTTTAATTTAAGTTAATTTATTCTTATAGAGAGGGGAAGGAGAAAGAGGGAGAGAAACATCGATCAGTTGCCTCTTGCACATGCCCCAATGGGGGATTGAGCCTGCAACCCAGGCATGTGCTCTGAACTGGCAACTTTGTGCTTTGTGGGATGATGCCCAACCTACTGAGCTACACCTGTCAGAGAGGAAAGCTGACTTTTGATGATATGCATCCTTATTTCAAAATAAGCTGTGAGTCTCAGATGCCACCCTATTTGAAGACAAAGTTGTGCCAACATAGAAGGCTTTCTTATTTTAATCAATGTTACTGTTGTTTACAGTAAGTTTGGGGAAAAATAAATAAAATTAAAACGGCTTTCCTAATCCTTGCATCAACAACATACCACATTTCATAATTGTTTTCAATGGTTAAAAAAAAAAAAGAAGAAAAAATACAAAAAAAAATCCTAAAGGACAAAAATGTGGCTGCTGAAGTCTGTATGGTTTATTACTGTACATTTGTAGTCTTGCAGGAGCTGAGAAGTTCACAGATGTGGATAGACCATAGTCACTGTGAGGCCTGTGCAGTATAGTATAGACCCTTCCATGTACTATACACCTCACACTGTAAACATACTTTACTAATAATAATAATGTCTCACACGGAAACAAGAGAAAAACCCTGGGTTAGCAGCAAGCTTTTAAAAATGTTTTTAGTTAAACATTAAGGAGAAAAAAGAGAAGGTTTTTCCCCAGAGTATCATGTATGAACCTATAACACCCTGACCTTTTTCTCTGCTCCTTGATTGCATGAATAACCAACCTGGAGATCACCTCTTTGAACTGGTTTTAACCTTGAGCTTCAGTGGCTTCACTGCCACATGTGTATATATTTGATGGTGTGCATTACACATACCCTTGAACACATGTGTATATATATATGATGTACATTGCACATACCCTTGGACATGTGTGTGTATGATATTGTATATTGTACATAATCTTGGATCCCCACAGTTTGGTCCCCCTCCCAGCTACACCTTTGTAGTAGGACAAGTTAACAAGTTGATGACCTGCACAAAGCAAGACACAGTGATTTAATCTCTTACCACACATCACTCCTCTGATATGATGCTATACATGTCTCTATAAAACGACCTTGCTGTCTCAGCTACCAATCAACTTATAGTGCACTTTTTTCTGGGTTTTTGTTTTCTTTCTAATGGAGGTGTGAAAAAGTTCTAGGTTCAATTGCAGCTCCTGATGAAGAAACAGAGTTGAAATTTTTTCAATAATAGAATCTGCATGTTTGTATTTCAAACAATGCAGCTAAAACTTGATGTAAATTCCTCCTTTTTTGGCTTAATGAATATCATTTATTCAGTATGGAATCTCTATATTATATGTTCAATGTGTTAGTAATAAATGTACATTAAATCTTGGTTAACAACAAAGCTGTGAGTTAAGCTGGAGGAAGGGTCTTTCTATTATATAACAACTGATCTTTCCTTTCATTTTAAAAAGGAGATTTTATATAAGGATCAGTAGTGTTGAGTCTATTCTGAACTCATGCAACAGAACCTATAGCTAGTTCCTGTTCGTAGAGTCAAGGTCTGCAAAGCCTTTAAAATCTGCCAACGGTCCATAGCATTCTCGACAGACTTCACTACATGGTTAGAGTACAAACAACAACAGGCACTAAAACTTGCTTTCTTCTCAGGTGGAGAATTATCTGGGAAGCTTAATGTTGACACTTGTAATGGGAAATAGACAAAACATTAAAGAGCTGGTACAATCATCATCTGAAATATTTCTGCCTTTTAAAGATGAGGCTCACTATTTAACTCCATCCCAATGGGTTTATTCCTGTGGATTGATTAGGAGAAACAGCCTGGCAAAGTTCAGTGGCCCCCATTCAAAACAGACTTTTAGCCTTCCAGGTGATGTCAGCAAGGCCAAAAAGGCGCTCCTTGGAGTATAGATCAGTAAAAAATAATCTTCCCAGATATCCATTAGATGATGCCAGTAACATAAAATATAAGCATCTAAATGTATCATGTATATGTGTGTGTGTGTGTGTGTGTGTATATGTATTAAATATCTAATAAAGTTAGATACGTTTGTTACGTACATATATGTGTGTATATGTATGTGTGTGTATACAAGTGTGTAACAAAGTAAGCAGCTAAATTTATTATAGATAGATTTATTTATGGAGAAAAATCAAAGCAAAACAACTGAAAAATACTGGGAGCCCATTTAACATGAAACACTAGCTAGTGCTTTATAAGATTCTATGATAGTGTTTACTTTGGAAATAAAACAGTATAATTAACCTTGTAGAAACAGTCCTTTAAAATAGGTATAATCTGCTTCTTGTGGTTTTTGTCAGGCTGCATGCCATTCTTTGGGCTTAATGGCTTTATTTTTTTCTTTGTGTAGGATCCATGTCCCCTTTGTGATGAAGCTAAGGAAGTTCTGGAGCCTTATAAAAACAGGGTAATTAGTACAGTGTGGCTTTATGTATATGGAATGGATTGTGTACGTGATATAAGGTATCTGGATCCTTTCTCTAGGAAAAGAGATTAAATGATTTTTCATTTAAATTTTCTTTCTAATTTTCAGAGAGAAATTTTAGTGCTAATTTCCATAAAACTCATTACCCACAAGTGTTTTTCTTAGAGAAGTACTGGTTTCCTCACTGTAGCTCTTAATATGAGTCAAAGTTAACTAGCAGGTGCAGTATTTGTGCTTTTTAAAAACTTTCATCCTTATTCCTTTTCTCTTATTTTGTCATTTTCATGGAAATGTTCTCCGGTAGCAAACCATTTGGAAAATCAAAACATGTCTTTCCTGATTCTCAAAAAGCTTCCCAGTTGGGACATATTTTATTTCACTGGGAACTGAGTAGTGCCTGGATGCTGAATGTAAACAGAAAAGTAGCAAAATCGGGAGTTACAGAATATAATGAAATCAGTCACTTTGTAGAAATCAGGGACATGAGATCACTTTAAACCTCACATAAACAAACAACAACAAAAACCTCTCAGCATTAGAACCAGTCTGAGGATCAGTTTGTCACTGAAGTTATTGCATTTTCCATGTTCTCTAAAATATTGAGCTTTAGTCTGTCTCTGTTTCAGTTTGTTTTACAGGAGGTGGACATCACACTTCCAGAAAACTCCACTTGGTATGAGAGGTATAAATATGACATCCCTGTCTTTCATTTGAATGGCAAGTTTCTGATGATGCATCGAGTAAACATTTCGAAACTTGAAAAACAGCTCCAGAAACTTGAGCAGCAAGGTACTGGGGGCTGATAAAAGCCCGCGTGATTTTCCACCCTCGCTGTCCAGAAGGCATCTTCCTGAGGAAATGACCATGGCCTTATACTCCTTTTGTCACTGTTACACAGCCCTAATGACGTTCTGAACTTAGTGGTGCCAAGTAAATGTCGACATTCCTCTTCTGATTAATGGGAATACTGGTGTAGGAAGTATTTACCTTTTGGCATTTTATAAAATAAGAGGAGTATATTAGGAGAGAGGGGATGGTGGAGGGCAGGAGAAACCCATTTGTTTTACTTATTTTTCTCCTTTGTGTTAATATGGAAACATTTCACATTTGTTGGACAGTGCCATTTATAGAAAGAAGTCTCTGCATCCCTGCTGCTGCCCTAAGGGCTTAACTTTTTAATGAAAGAATAAACGCTCTTCCTCTCAGTAGATAAAGTGAAATGTGAATTGTTAATAACTATGCATAGTCCATAAAGGCGTGTTTTAACAAATACATCTGCATGAAGCCTATTTTCTTGGAATTTAATAATACCTGTTTAAAATTAGAGCTCATTTTTTGGGGCTAGAAGAAAATAATTATCTCAGCCAAAGAGGCTTCATCTGAGAAACGCAAAAACTAGACTTAAACCCCCAAAATGTATATATGAATCTCAATATGCTTGGCATGTAGTCAGTGGATTGATTCATAACATTTGAGTACTGTCTTTGATAGTTTTTCAGTTATCAGTTGAGTTAAGCTTATTATAAAAGTTGTTTTATCAGGTTTTAATATCTCAGGGAAAATTCACTACTGACTATAACTGGACATGTGTGTCACCTAAAGACAAAATATTCTTCACCATTTTATGTAAAGTATTAAAAATGTAGTCATGTACTCTTATTTATATTTAGTCGGGTTCGGCCGATATAGGAGTAGGTTCATTTAAAAACAAAACTGCCTTTTCCTCTTAAAATCACATCATTGTAATTTCTTCTATAATGAAATTCTTTTGTGAACTATTTTAATGAATTTGGATATTGTGAGTCCCTTGGCTAGATTTAAATTTGATCAATACGGTTTGGAGTTAGAAATGATGGAGTATTAAAGCTGGCCAACCTTAGATTTTTATTTTCTAGTCCCAACTCCCTTTAGACATGAGGAGGACTCTGACAGTCGAGGAGTTTCGAGGACTTAACCTGAGGTCACACAGTCAGTCAGCTGTCAGACCAGATCTTGCCTCCCACTCTGAATTTCCAGCACTACCTGGGCTCAGGGCAGGGGTATCCTGTTAATTTCACATAGAGCATCCTCAACCATTCTGGATCCAACACAAATTAGGAAGTAACTTCAAAAGCCTAAGAGAAGAGGAAAAAAATTTTACGATTGAGTAGCAGTGTTTATAATTTACATATTTCTGGAACACATCTTATTTGATTTCATAAATATTTATTGAGCTCTGTGGTAGGTAAAACTGACCCCAGTGAACCCTCATGGTGTATTCCCTTCCCTTTGAGTGTGGGTAGAACCCATGAATATGATGAAATACACTGCTGTGATCATGCTACATTGTGTGACAGAAGGAAGATTATCCTGGTTGGGCCCAACATAATCAGGTGAACCCTTTAAAAGCAGAGAATTCTCTCTGACTATAGATGAGAAAATCAAAGAGACATGCTCCAGCTGGCTTGGAAGGCAGTAAACATCTATGTTGTGAACTGCCTAGTGGGGCCACATGGCAAGAAACTATAGGCAGCCTCTAGCATCTGAGAGTAGTTCTTGGCCAACAGCTAATAGGAAAATGGTGACATCAGTCCTACAGCTTCAAGAAAACGAATTCTGTCAATAATCAGCCATCCTAGAAGAGGATCCTGAGCTCCAGATGAAAATCACAGCCCTGGCTGACCCCTTGATTTCAGCTCAGTGAGATTCTGACCAGAGAATCTAGCTATACCATATCTAGGCTTGTGACCTTCAGAAGCTGTGAAATAATAAATGTGTGTTTCAAGCTGCTAAGATTGTGGTAACTTGTTACACAGCAATAGAAGTCCCTGCAACACTGAAGCACAATCGTAGGTGGCCATGGTACAAGAATGAATAAGGCACAGTTCTTGTCTTAGAGACACTCAGTGACTCTTGGGGAGCAGGGAGAAGCAAATTAATAAAGCACTGCAATGAAGTGGCATGAGAGCCAGAACTGAAACACGTAAAAGCGGTATAGCAGCCAGATGGGGAAAGTGGCGGGAAGGCTTCTCAGAACACTAGACAAACTAGGTCTTGATGGTTGAATAGAAGCAACGGGAGGAGGGCGGCTGAGAGTGAGGAGGGTATTCCATCCTGAAAGAAAAGCATATGAAAAAGGAAAGAGTGTGGAAAGGCAAGGCATATTTAGAAAATGGCAGGTGGTTTTCTGTGGCTGTAGTGAAGCAGAGAGAAGTGAATGAGTTGAGACTGACAAGATCAATTAGAGTACACATTGTGAAGGACCTCAAGAAATGTGATTTTTCCCCCAGGAAGCAAGTGCTGTTCTCCCTTCCTGGCCTCACCTAGAGTCAGTCCTTTGGCTCCTGATTCCTCAGGCATATCTGGCCTCTCTACTCCAGGCTTTCTCAGTCCTTCTGGTCCTTAAGCACACTAAACTCAGTAGTCCCCTCTAGTAGCCTCTAGTAGCGTTCACGTCTTCGATACAGCCAGGGAGAGGGCCATAAAGATCGCCCTCTTATGTGTCTGGGCACCCTGCATTCTGCCTTCCTCCAGGCAGCATGAGGGCTATGTGGCCCATGTCCTAGGGTTGCTGGTCCTTCTGGGCCATCGGCTGGGAAAGTTCCAAGAGTTTCAAGGTGTGCTCTGCTAAGGAGGAGAGAATCCATTGGTTCCCTTCAGAAAGCAAGGCTGGCCAGAGACCCTGAAGTTTTGTTCTTTGGGAGCACTTCTCTCCTGAGTATAACGATGGTGTATAGGAGATATGAGGATTTCATCCAAACAACAAATTTCTGACCTTAGAATTTTAAACAAGTAAACAAAAACCCATTACTTACAGGGTGTTAAAACTAAAGTGTTGGCTGAGGCATCAAAAACTATATGTGCTACATGCCAAAGGAAAGACTAGACCACATAGGATTGTTGGAGATTGGAGAGAGGATATTAGGAAGATTTTTTTTTTTTTTTTTTTTTTTAAGAAAAGTGTGTTCTCAGTTCCCACAAAAGTAAAAGCTTAGGGTCACCTAATGTCAAAAGAAAGGGACATAGGTGGGACTCATCAAACAGCTTAATACATGTCCCTGGGTAGGAAGAACAGTGGTCTGACTCCATTCTGGGAAATCATGTGAAAGATGAGCCGGCAAAGCCACTTCGGGTGCAGACTGAAGGGGACCTGCTGTTGCTCCGAGTGTGACAAGGGAAAGGATATGTGTGCGTGTTTCTTTATAGGTGAGATCTGGGTCAATCATGAGCAAGGGGCATCATTAGGTGCAGCCAAGCCTTAGAAAAGGAGGGGAAGCAGAGGGAAAACTCTAGGTCCCTAGGGGCTGAGGAAGTAAGTGGTTGCTCAAACAGAGAGCACATTTGCCTGAATCCAGGGAACTTGCATGTGAGACATCACCAGCTGTGAGTGCAATCTCCCAAGAACCCACAAAATCTCTCTGAAATGTGGTCTGCTTTAAAGGTTTACCAGGCCCAGAAAGCTGGAGGCCATCTTAAAACTTCAGCAGACAACACTTCTGCCTCTCCCACTTCTACTTTCCCCCATCCCAACCCTAGAAGAATCGCAAGCTGCCAGGAGCAGGGAGAGAAAGACCTTCCCCTTCCACACCTTCCTATCTGCATGTAGCTTCTCATGGTGATAAGGGTAAGACTTAATTTTAAACCAAGTTCTACATTTTGATTATGACATAGGATTAAGTGCAATAACACAATTTGAAGTGACCATGGGACTTTATGTTGCTTGAGAATGCTGAAAAGAATCCTGGCACTACCTGGTTTTAATTTTATTCTAAACAGAGCGAGAAATTCCCCATTGAATACATTTTATAGGGATACTGGGAGACATAAATAAAATGCTGTCTGATAGTATTCTATATTCAGACTATTAATTACATGTGCCTAATGTTTCTTTCCTATAAATCTTTAATAAATTTATGTTTTAATTCGATTTTGAGAAAGTAATGTGGTCATGTGACTAAGCATCTTGGAGACCTTCAGCAATCTCTCTGGTCCCAACAACTGGCAAATCAAAAGGCAGCTACTTAGAAACACAGCATCTAAAAGGTGGATTGATTACACCACCATTGCTAAACATCAGACAATGTTATGTCCCTTATAGTCATTTTCATATGATACTTGTAGCAACAATTACTTTTTTCTTTCTGAAATTATGTTTGCAGAGATCAATTTGTTTTTATATAAAGACTGGTTTTGACCCAAGAAGCTCATCATAGTTTTCCTCCGCTCTCCAAGGAAATAGTGATGTAACCTTTCCTTTCCCCTTTTTTCCCTAAACTGATGCTTTAAAAATGAGGAATAAACATTGACTGTGGGACTGTATATCGCTGCTCTTAGTTACAGTGCTGCTTTCATCCAGATGTCTCATCAGAACATCATAAGGGCTTTGCCTGGAACACGTAACTCTTTGGCCAGTTTATCTCAGGAAGCAGAGGTTTGCTCAGACTAGGGTTGTTTTGTGTGTTTATAATAATGCAGCAACTCGCAGAAGTCTAACAATGGGAATTGTAGGAGGGAATTCTCACTGTGCCTCAGCTTCTACCTTTCCCTCTTCTCTCCTGGCTCCCCAGCTCCCCTGCTAACTCACAGTGCCTGCTTTCTCATAACTGCAGCTTGCTCTTGCCCATCATTCCTGCTGACCCTTCCATACATTAATGGTCAGAGACTCTCAGCTTCTCTATTCTGAAATCCCCAAAGAGGAATTTCACTCAGCTAGTATTTTACAACCAGTCACCCAAGTCATATATTGGCTAATCGAGCCCATAGAAAGAGCCACCATTGGGTCAGGTGCCTACGCCTGGCCCAATCAACTATGGGGCCCAAGGTCATTTGGGATACAAATCATTGTCACTGCCCACTCAGCAGAAACTGAAAGCATGGCTGGGAGTAATCAGTAACTCTGGCACACATCCAAAAAGTTTAAGAGCATGTCATTCTACCATAGTCAAAAGTTCACTTATATCCTACTCATGAGAGTAATGAGGACTTGAACCAGGGAAATGGGAATTAGAAAGAAATGTCAGAAGAAATTTGAGAGTAAGATTGACAAAACTTCATGGCTGACCGGGGGTGTGAGGGAAGAGTGAGTAGAGACAAAAGCACCAGGCCTGGGATGAGTCCCAGTCTTCTTGTTGTGGCTACCGGTTAAATTCCAGTACTTACTACTTAA